CTTCCACGTTCACGACCCACACGTAACATGTCCCGGCGTCGATGAAGGTGAGAGTGTATAGCTCGTCATTGACTCCGAAGTGCCCCACGTTCAGGAAGTCGCTGTACAGCTTGTATAGCTTGGGGTATCGATTGGTTCCTGGCTCGAGCAGCGGGAACGGCTGGTGGCTTAGTGCAGCTGCAGGGCAGACGGTGCAGTTGCGCGGATGTGATGCGCCTCGTAATTCAGTGTCGTCTGGGCGCAGGAGTGCGCCAGGAGCGTAAACCACTGCGTCGATGTAGTTTTTCAGCGTCGCGCGTGAGGGATGTCCAAGGCGCTGGTGCCAAAGCGCATCGGTAGCGCGGAATCCTGAGGTGCGCATGTAGCACGCGCGGGCTTCTTCAGGGTCTTCGTCAGGTACTGGGGCAGGTTGTGCTGCTTCTTCTACTGCTTTATCTTCGTCGTTGGCGGTAGTTAGCATTAGCACCAAGAACTCTCTCTCGCGGATTTCGGAGAGGGAAATATTGGTCCCAGGGATAGTTCCAGGGACGAGTGTGGGTTCACGTGGTTCAGGGGCAGGTCCGTAGACGGTGCGGCGCGGAGTCGACGGCTCGTTGCCCCAATCAATGGTGTCCCAGGGATCGCGGCGCGGCGGAATATCAGGAGGAGGTAGCGCGGGTGGAGCACGACGCGGGGGGCGACCAAGGGGAACAACAGTTGATTCCGCTTCTTCTTCTCCCCTTTGGTCCTCGCGGGGAGCTTCCCAACCTTCACCAGAAGTGCCCCAACCGCTAGTCTCTCCGCAAGATGCGGCGCCCCATCCGCCAGTGGCGCCGCAAGCTGAAGCTTCCCATCCGCCGGTCTCGCTTGTGCCCTATCCGCCGACGCTTCCCCACCCCCCTTCATTGGAGACGTTCTCCTCTTCTCCCCATCCACTCATGCGAATGCTCCGCGCGCCTCGGCAAGACTCTGTCGGCGAAGCTCCTCTGCTTCGCGACGCGCCAAGTCCTCTTCTTCCGCCACGGTGAGTTTTGCCGAGGGGTCGTGCCTCGGCAAGACTCTGTCGGCGAAGCTCCTCTGATTCGCGACGCGCCAAGTCCTCTTCTTCCGCCACAGTGAGTTTTGCCAAGGGGTTGCGCCAGTGGGGGTATGCCTTCTGGAATTCCTCCCGTGTGTAGGGGCGCGCAACTCCGCACGCGTCGAAGGTGACAACACTGGTGCCACGCAGCATGCCTTGGAGGTGCTGTGTTGCCTAGCCGATGAGGGGATGTTCCGGCGTTTCGAGCATGTTGCACGTTGCGATTTCGAGCTCTAGTTGCGACATCCCTTCTTCTGGCGGTGCATGACGCTCTGCTTTGGCGATGGCGGCAAGTCCACGGCCGGCAATCGCGCTGGTTGATGCTGGTGGCGTGTGGCAGTCCCTGCAGATGCCGTCTGGGTCAGGGTCGTGCAGCGCCAGTGGTGAGGATGATGCGGCACCCACGGTCTTTCATCGGGGTGCTTCCAGTCCCTGCGGTGAATGTGCTCGAAGTGTAGTGGAACGAGATCGATTAACTCGTTTGAATCACCGCTGCAGTTGGGAATATCGAAGTCCAGGATGTACACTCCATTTTCAGAGTGCGCTCTTCCAATCTGCCTGCGGGAAAATGTCGGCGATTCATAGTGCAGCAGGATGTCGCGTGTCTCGCGATCCGTGCTAAGGCCGACGCCGCAGTCCATGAGCTGAGCCGCGGAAAGTGAGTTGAAGCGCAGGTTCTGGACGATCAGCACATCGTTAAGTGCGATGTGCGTGCGACTTCCTCGTGCCTTGAGCACGACGATGCCTTACACGCTTGCGCGCAGGCGCGTGTTGTTGGCCACGGTGACTACTCCACCCATAGGGGTGGGGACGGCGTTGGAGACGAAACGCTCAGAGCCCACCATATGCTGGCCGCAGCAGCTTTTCAGGTACCACGTGTTGTACCGCTTCCTGTCGTCACGTGCGAGCAGCGCTAGACGCTGCGTGACGAAGTGAGGTGTGACGAACTTCAGGAACTGCTCGCGCGAGAGCCAATCGAGTGGCGCCGTTTGCATGTCAGGTACGTGCGGGGGACTTTCGAGCAGCGGGACCGGGAGGTTCCAGTCCTGGTCGTCGTCGTCGGTGAAGTTGTGGCGCGTCCTGAAAGGGTTGTTGTTGGGGAATGCACCGATGGGATGCAGAGCTGGCACAGGTGATGCTGAGCGCACACGGCGATGACGAGATTCGCCATTCATAGCCATGTTCCCCATGACATTGCGTACTGGGGCAGGCGGTGACGGCTGCTGCTGCTGATGCTAAACCGATGGGGATATTCATGAAGATTTCTTCGGATATGCTACTTCCCAACTTCGCGATTTGGTCGCGAAGGCTCCGACATCGATTAATGTAGCTGTTGGCCTTCTCCCCTAGGGCCATTTTGGTCTCTAGTAGCTGCTTGAGCAGCCGGCTCGAAGAGACGGAGTCCTTCGGCTGATACACACCATTCAGGTGGCGCAAAGCGTTGAAGGTTGGAGCAAGTGAAGTTTTGTATGACCAGATGCTCAGCTGCTCCGCCGACGACTTATTGCGCTGAAGAACCCCGTACGTCATCATAGATTCATTGTAGTACCTTGTCCTAGCGTCGTCTGTGTCTTCAGCAGGTTCCGCGTAACTCCCGTTGAAATAATAGAAGATCTGAGCGTTCTGCAGCAGGAGCTCCAGCTGCGAAGCTCCGGGTATAAAAACATCTGCCGTCAAAGCTGTACTTGTCTATATTTTTAATATGCTGTGAAACCTTGATTGTGCATAAATAATTGCTTCTTCGCTAGGACGAAAAGGCTTGGTGGTTGAACCATTTGTGTTGAGGGAGAAGGTGTGCGGGACGGCGTCCTGGCCGTTCGGGGCCGGTTGAGAGGGTTGCGATGAAGTTCCCGCGCCGCCAGTCCACAATGTTTTGAGACCTTGCTCCAGGCTGGTGAGTCGCTGAAGCAGTTGTGCGAGGACGGCGGTTCCAATCGTCGTCGTTTCCTCGTTTGTCGCAGCCGGGTTGGTTTGCGCTTCATCCATCAGATTTGTCTGACCAACAGATCCTCCGGCCATTCGCACACGCAAGCGTGTGCTGGACACCACTTTCCGTTCGTCGAAGATTTCGGAGGTGGCAGTGCGAAGGATTCCTGAGTCGCTCTCATACCATGTTACGATAAGAGAGTGATCGACCCTAGGATCACCTCAGGAAGGTTCGCAAACAACTGAGTAGTAGTGGTGGGTATCAGAATTCCAACCACTAGACCATTGGGATAAAAGGGCTTGTTTGTGTAGCGGGTAAGTGCGCCCATAACCCCCCAGGCCAACGTGCCTGTAACCCTTCTCTAGGATCAATCGGGGATCACCAGTGGACCTCTGACACCACCCCGCACTGGGATGCCCGAGGTGCACACACTGGGATTCGAACCCGAGATCTTCGCTCTGATACCATATCAGAATTCCAACCACTAGACCATTGGGATAAAAGGGCTTGTTTGTGTAGCGGGTCAGTGCGCCCATAAACCTCCAGGCCAACGTGCCTGTAACCTTTCTCTAGGATCAATCGGGGATCACCAGTGGACCTCTGACAGTGGGCCCTTGACCTCAATAGCAGAGTGAATGTAAAATGCTTTGAGATGATTAAAGCATGCAAATACAGAAAGTATAAATATGAGTACAGGGAATTCGAATCGTCCTAGCTAGCCATGTACTCTAAGGGGTACATTCCCTTATTCAAATTCATTCCCAACCGTGCGGCGCGTACATCTACGGAAATGTTCCCGCCAAATCCCTCTTCCCTGCAGCTGCCCGATGCTGTCTGCTCCGACGGTCCAGATCCTCTCTAACCGTCTGCGTCGCTTTGGGTCAACTCTGACCCCTCACATTCATTCTCGATATTGCGTGCTTCACTTAGCTGCGGTTAGGAGTGCACAATGATATTTCACTATTCGTAACACCCAGGATATTGCGGCTGTTTATCACGAGGTGAACTGATTTCCCAAGGGTTTGATGCTTGAGAGAACAAACACGTGGCCCAAAATACACAATTAGCGCTTTGATGGAAGGTCCATGGCAGTTAGGACGAGAGTATTTCTATGCCTAATAAGAGGTAGTTTTAGTGTCGCGGATCAGAGTGTACTGGAAAAGATGAAAGCTGCTTCGTGATGGAAGCACCTGTATGTTCGGTAGCAGGTGCTGGTGCTGCTGGCAACGTTGACGGTTGATCAGGTCAACTGGTCAACTGTAAGTGTTGTGATAGGCAGAGCACTTCATCCGTGGCAGCTCCAAAGGTCCAGGAACTGTTGCTGGGCAGATTTCACGAAACTTGTTTAGACGAAGTGGGGTGAGGGCGTGTTACATTTGTTCTCTTTTTTTCGTCCGGACGGCCAACCGTCCGGACGGTTGTGTGGTTATGAAACTCGTTAAAGCTCGACAGTATTTTCGTCAGGGTCTAAACGACGTCGCTTTCTTCGTTCTGCCTCCTTACGACATCGCGTCGGTCGCAACGCGACCTTGCGACGTCGCAATCTTCGCACTTGTCCGGACAGCCGTCCGGACTTTCAGCGACTTTGAAACATGTAACACGCCCTCACTTACCTCTTGCTGAGTCATTCTGCAATTGACAGGTAGCGAGAATCATGCCCACAATGCCCACTGTTGAGCGGTTTAAATCGGCTCCATGCTGCACGCACCGCAGGGCAAAAGCACCACTGCCCGAACCGAAACAGACCACGTGCACACCTCAGTGGCTAACATCGGTGGCCACAGATGTTTCGGGCAGTTCAGCTGTCGTAAGAACGTCTCCTTCTGCCCCAGCCCTGTCGGTGCCGTCAGAACAGAACCCACGAAGGACGCTTCATGTTCACTTGCGCCTGTCACACGGCAGCAGTGAATGCGTTCAAGTTCGGTTACCCTCCGAACCACTCACCACCACCACCACCACTCACTTTCACCAACCTCAGCAAGCACAGTCCTTTGCTCTCGTCGGGACCGTTCGCGCATGCCAAATGGCGCACGATCGGCGCAGATCATCAATTCACCAATCAAAGCTGGGAGTACGGGCAATGTGTGCGCGCGGTCGTGGATGGTGCAGCAGCGAAGCAGCAGTGTCATGTCAAGTCATGCCATGCCGCGTTTGGTTTCCATCCAATCCATGCACAGTGCTGCATCCTCCCGCGCAGCGCCGCCCCCAAACCCACATCCCCCCACCGAATGTCGCGCCCACATTCCCCCCTCCCGCGCCGTCCATCCCACCCATTCCATTCCATCCCACACCGATTGTGTGCTGCTGCTGGTCCCTTCATCAAATTTTACCCCCCCCGCACTTCCATCCCCCAACAACCCAAACGTTACAGTACCAGTTTTCTGAAGATCAAACCCTCACCCTTATATCCCCCCGACCGACCCTTTCCACAGCTGACCAGTGAAGCTCCCGCACCGTCCATTCTTGTGGCTTCTCCCCCTCATTCAGTTTCGGCACCTCGTGATCTTCCCGTTACGTCGTCGGGAGTTTATACCTGTGTGTCGTTCTCCCCGTCAAGGCCATCCATCGTTACCGGAATCTCACAGGTAATCTCCAGGTGATCTAGATACAAGAGTTCCCAGCAGCCGGACCACAGCCCCGCAAAATACTACTAACTATCCGTGTATCATTTTCTTCGAACCCCCGTGTATTATCAAACCACCTGATTGCGGGTTTGATTTCGAGACTTTCCCGTTCTCTCCCAACAACCGCATTCCGTCCCGTGTCTCTCTCGTCGCTCCAAATTTCTTTGCCTACTTCCTCCAGCCCAGCATCTCTTGCCATCATGTTGCCGTCAGTAGCCGTGGCGTTGGTGCTGCTCGCCGCGTCCATTCCGGCGTCGGACGCGCAAGTTCGGCCCGGCTGCATCCGGAAGTACCAATGCCCGCGTCGCGGCAGCAATCAGTGCGGTCTCTACTACGTCTGCTCCGATTCTGCGAATCCCAAACCGCCCTACACCCTGCAGACCTGTGACACATGCGGATTTCGAGACAAGTGAGTTTATCTGTGTTGCTTTCTTTCATTGTCGTCTGGCGCGCATCATCTTCGCTCGTTCAGCAATCTAAATGGAAACCCTGCAACTCTTTTACCCTGCGGCACACGCGGGTATCGGTAGATAGGCGTGTTGCTGCTGAGTAACACCCGGTTCCATTTTTTAAAAAGGATACTTTGGACTCGAGTTCTTCCGACCGTTCGTCACGTTCGCATGGGCAATAATAGCACATCGCGTTCGCATGGGCAATAATAGCACGTCGCGTTCGCATGGTCGATTGTAGCACGCCACGTTCGCACCCTTTGTCAGACAGGCAGACCGCCTTGCACCTGCCAGCCTTGCACGCACCCGTGTGTATAGGTTCGAGTTCTGAGGTGCCTTAAAAAGCACCTGCGTGTACAGTGCGAAAGCAGGAGCGATGCTTGACTTGCACGTGTTATGAGCAGTGTTGGAAACGGCCGAGAAGCGCGCCAATCCAAGAAGCCCACTATCTAAACCATGGAAAAAAGCAAGTCGCAACCACGAATTTGCTGGTCCAGAAGGTGGTTGCCTAGAATTCTGTGCTCTCTAACAGCTTTTCGTGCGTCTCTCACGGTGGGATGGAGGTGATCCTTTTCTGGTCTACAAGCGGAACGAAGAGGCGGATTCATGCTTCGAGTGCAATCCGAAGTTGCGTGCAACCAGCCGCGTGATACACTCAACTTCCATCATTAGCCGTTCGATGCTCCAGTGTTAGCCGGAGGATGCTCCAGCATCAGCCGGACGTTAATCCGGCCTTGGTCGGATGATTCATAGCACTAGCTGGACGATTCGCAATGTTTCTCCTCTCGCCGTAACAGTTTGTTCTCTCCGCACCTCCTCTCTGCCTGCTCACCCTTTTTCCCATTTCTGCTTTCTCCCCTCGCCCCAACTTGTTCCTCTGCCTACCGTCTTATCATCTCAGCGTTAAGGCGTATACTGACGTTTGCAACTATCTGACAGGCCGGTGCAACAAGAATGTCATTGTGAGTCAACTTACCCCGCACCTCACCGCACTCCGCTGCACCTCAATGCACCTCACTCCTTGCACTCTCCAGTTTGTCCTCGCCTCGTACCCTTTGTTTGCTTCTTATGCCTGTCGCTGGCTGGTGTGTTGTGGTTGCAGGATGGCAAGCCTTGTAAGGTAGATGCACAATGCGGCAAAACAGGGGAGTTTAAGTGCCTGGTGAACAAGAACAGCAAGGCCAAGCCCAAGGCCACGCGCTGCTGCAGGTGAGTAGGGGCAGAGGCGGACTTTTTCCTCTATTTCCTGTCTTGATGTTACTGCAATTGCTGACGCTGGTGGATGTATTTTCTTAACTTTCAACTTCAATACGTTTCCGTTTCTTGCAGGACCAAATGCCCTCCTGGCCTGTGCGGGTATGGCAAGGCCGCTGCAACTTATCTCAATGCCTGCGGCACTAGGATCACCTGTCCTGGAACCTGCCCAAAGAAGTGATTTTAAATTGTATGATCTAGAACGTTACCTACCCCATATTCTGGGACATGAGAATGCATCGTTCAAATACGCCCTGTACTTCTATCCAGTTCGAGAATTTAGCACTCTTTAGTTCGGCATTTGAAACCTGTACAGTTTGAAATAATTTATTAACTCACTGAGGAGGACAACACTAGATATTGGCGCAGTGGACGGTCGCGGTTCTCCATGTTTCCCGGAATTGCGGGGACGAGGGCGAATGCCTGTCGAGCCGATTCGCTTCTCTTCCCCTGTCCTCTCTCCCTCCACTCATTTGATACAGAACGAGAACAGCATGTAACTGCTGAATCTGGAGTCAGAATCTGCTATTCCACCACCATCTGTAGCTGTTTCGTCGCAAACCTGCGATTTGGAATCGAAAGCGAAGAGAGCTTAAAGCTGCGGTATACATTTGAAAGGAAGGGTTCAAAAACTTTTGAAATTTGAAAAGTTGCCCCAAACCTGTGGGGCTCACTCCCTAAACCCTGAACCCTGCTGACAAATGTATACTTCAGCTTTAACTTATGGTAATTCTCCTCGATAAGCATTAGCGTGTGCTTGTGGTCTTCGGAGGCTGCATCTACCCCGTGAGCGTTTGTTAACAGTTGCGGTACAAAGTATGCAGTTTGCTTCTGTCACGCGGCTCGACTTGAAGCATCCAACGAATGGGCACGCGTACGTAGCTCCTCGAAGATCCATGGCGGTCGATTATCGTCGTCGGTGGAATCCGACGATCTCTACCGTCAGATCCCCGCCATCAACGGTTCCCATGCGATTGCGCGTATTCGCACGGATCCAAATAGACCGCCGAAAGTATCTCGAGGAGCTCTTCCGTCGTCAGCTGGTGAGTAGTGCCACGTGGCGCCGCTGATTGGTTCTTCCTGACAATGTCCCACCCAACGCCAAACCATGAGGTGTTTCAGGGGGCCTTGAACGCCTACTAGGCGTAAGTATCGCTAATCGTTAATCTCGACGAGTTTCGAGGCGCCTTGAACTCGTCCCATATCAACCAACATGCCTTCTTTCTGGGTCGCTTCAAGAGACGCCTATCGTTTATTGTTGATTACCCATGAGTAGGCCACCTGCACGCCAGGTGCAGACGATACAGATCTCTGGGTCTGGGTCGCTCTTGAGTGTCCTGCTCGGTCTCGCATGAGATCTGGCAGGTATTGCGTACGCGATCGGCGTCTCCGTTTCACGCTGTTTTATGGCGTTCGTTCCGCTCTTACTCCATGCTTTTATTATTTTCTCGCTCAGCTCCCTCTTCCTCCAACTCTCCTCACATACACTCCACCATCACCTGCCACCAATCTCGCTGAAGCTCTTTCACCACTCAGCACGATGCACGCACTTCAAATGTTAACAATCATACTCGGAACTACGTTTTTTTACAGCTTCCATTCCATCCTTTACCCGATATCTTGTCGGCAGGAGGAGGAAAAGCGGCGGGCTGAGTCAGCTGTGACGTGTCCAGTGGATTGCGTGCGGGAGGTTCGGACTATGGCTGATCTGGAAGCGGAGTTGCTTACAGCGGAGCAGAATATGCAGCTGGTGAGCTCGGAATGAGGAATGGAGGAGAAAAAATAATAGATATTCAGGTTTCTCGACCCTTGTAGCGGCAGTCTGTTCGTTTCCTGCTCGTAATGGATTTGATTATCACAATTGCGGTTGCGTGATGCAGGTGGTTGTGGATTTCTACAATTCGTCATGTGGCTCCTGTAGATACATTCTTCCTAAGTTCATTGACCTCTGCAAATCAGTAAGATCACGTTATGCTCCCATGTGATGGCCGTGGTTCATTCTGACACAGATGCCACAGCAATTGATGAAATTCCACTCGATGGCATCAAGGGGTTCAGTGACATGCGTTGTCTTGGGTAGATTGGTCACAGAAGGACTCCACAAACAAATCCGCTGCCCAAGATTGCATGAGCGGACAACCAATGTTTGAGCTGCCACTGCATCGATCTGATTCTGCTCTGCTTCATTAGTCACCTAGAAGTGCAAACTGTCTCCTTGCGCCTGTGCTGCATGCTTGATCGTTTCCTTTGTTCAGGGCTGTCAGGGTGACTCCGAGTGTGCAGTGGATGGATTTGCAATTTCAGACAACACCACACCTGATAGGGTTACAACGGACGGTGTTACAAACAATGTTCTTCCAGGAAACCTGGATAAGAATAATGAGGTCGATATGAGTGTAGCAGCAGCAGCTGAAGAGAGCAAGGATGCAGATGCTGTTGACTCTGAAATCGTGCGGCAGGAGTTTTCAGCCGTTCGATTTCTCAAGCACAATGTTCGGGACGACTATGACGATTTAACGGTATGTCCGTGGATGGTTCCTCGCTGGATGGCGCGTCATATTTGCGGTTCTCAAGGTTTCATTCTTGGTCATAACTTGGAAGCACTGTTTTGTTCTGTCAAGATCCACCGACAGAGCTTTTCAGCTGGAATCTTTTTTTTTGTTTCTGCAACATGATCGTGGCTTATACCTAGCAATGGAGTGGCTTTTAACCTGAGTGTCCTGTAGCTACAAGCAGTGGCGCTCTTTATGTTTCTCCGCCTTCTCCTTATCTAAAACATTTCTTCCATTCTCCATTCGTTTCTTTCAGGAAATCGCCCTACTTTATCGCATTAAGCTGGTTCCCGCCTTTGCCTTCTTCAAGGTATGTAACCATTTGCCGTGACGTTTGCTATGACAATTATGGTCTCTGCTGTTCTTGGTGCCTTGTGCATTGTGCAATCCACTCATGCAATCATGTTCTTACCATGCTTTGCACACTGTTAAATACTGCTTGCGCAGTCCACTCGTACATCCCTCCCCCATTGTCCCCAATCCATATCTATCAGCCAAAATGAAGCCTTGTGTATTCTTTTTCCGTGTCCTGCTCTTTTTGTATTGAACGGTTTTCAGGACGGTTCATGCATTGGCCAGATCGCAACAAGAGACACTTCCAGGGTGGCAGCTGCGTTGGCAATCCTGCTATCAGGGCAGAAGCTGTGACTCTGGTGTGCTCGGCCTGTCACCAAGCGTATGGATGTGGGAGGCTGCAGCTACAAAATTGCTGGCGATAATGATAAATTGGAAGCATGCAGCTTCCGAAAGAGCCGTTGGAGCTGCTACTGTAAATACTAGCCATTGAATGATATGAGGCATGAAATCGTACTGAGGGGTATGTACAGCCTGAAAGCTGTATATTGTATATTTATAAATAGTTCAGAGACTACAGTTTTCATGTTTCTTCTCTGTTGAGGATAATGACGGGAAATGTCTTCTCGCCACACTCCAGGTTTTAGGTGAGCTTCACTGCGAGCCCCGATTCTTCCGAAGCCGTGATACTTCTTTCGCACCCCTTTCCACTTCTCCTCTTTCTCATCCACACGGTTGGCTTTCCTTGCCAGAACTCGTGTACAGGCTGCCTGTGGACTAACCTCGAGTTCCTCGTTCAGTTCCTTACTGCGAGCGTGACGGTATCCTGTCTGCCCTTACTTGCTGTGGTCTGCCGAGTGCAGAAACCCTAATTTGCTTTTCGGGAACCCCAAGTCGATCCGCGCGTAGTCAGCAATTGTCGGAGGAGTCAACAAGTTGTTAGCTAATCAGCAATTGCCCGGGAGCCAGCAGTGGGCAAGGAACGAGCCGCAATTGGCTCTAAGCAGTCAGTGAGCACTCAGCGAACACTCAGACATGGGGACCGAGCGCAAGCGTAAGATCAGCCTCTTTGACGTTCCGCCGGAGACGAGCCGTCAGAAGGTGGATGGATTCGCAGATGCGACGTCGGCGGCGGCGGCTGTAATCGCCGCGGCGTCGGCGAATGTAATGGCCGCAGCGGCGGCGACGACGATAAACCCGTACAACGGCCGGCCGTACACGCAGCGGTATTTTGACATTCTTGAGAAGCGGAAAACACTGCCGGTGTGGCAGCAGAAGCAGGAATTTGTGGATCTGTTGAAGAAGCAGCAGATCATCGTGCTCGTGGGAGAGACGGGTAGCGGGAAAACCACGCAGGTTAGTGGTCGTGGCTCACTACCATACAGAAAATCCTGAATATTGCCGATCTGCTAAAGACTCATTAGCAGCAGATCATCGTGCTCGTGGGAGAGACGGGTAGCGGGAAAACCACGCAGGTTAGTGGTCGGTGCGTGCTTGGTCGACGCTCTGATGAAACCCTTGAAGTCGCCGATCTTGTGAAATTTCCTGAGGAGTTTTCTAGACGCAGGTGGCGTGCACGTGTTTGAGATGCTAGAGTGGAGTGTCTGAACGCCTCGTCCTCCCCTCGTCTTCCCAACCATATCTCGCAATTCGTCGTGGCGTGTCTGAACGCGACGCCTAAGAAGCAGGTAGCGTGCACGCAATTGCGACGCTTCTGCGCTCACCTTAACCCCTTACTCCCCTATAAATCGTACCGCCCCAGATCCCGCAATTCGTGGTGGAGTGTCTGAACGCGACGAACAAGAAGCAGGTGGCGTGCACGCAGCCGCGGCGGGTGGCCTTTGAGTCCTCTTAGAACCTCCCTCCCTCCCCTGCAATGCAATTCCGCGTCTCCCCAACCAGATTCCGCAATTCGTGGTGGAGTGTCTCAACGCGACGAACAAGAAGCAGGTGGCGTGCACGCAGCCGCGGCGGGTGGCCTTTGAGTCCTCTTAGAACCTCCCTCCCTCCCCTGCAATGCAATTCCGCGTCTCCCCAACCAGATTCCGCAATTCGTGGTGGAGTGTCTCAACGCGACGAACAAGAAGCAGGTGGCGTGCACGCAGCCGCGACGAGTGGCGGCGATGTCGGTGTCGCGGCGAGTGGCGGACGAGATGGACGTGACCATCGGCGAGGAGGTGGGCTACTCCATCCGATTCGAGGACTGCAGCGGTCCCAAAACCAGCCTCAAGTGAGTTGAGTTGTTTCAGGGCAGGCTGTGCAGGCTGTCAGTCAGTCAAGGGGTGCCAATGCCAAGGGTGCCTACAGTGAGGGTGTCTATGGTTAGGGTAGATAGTGCAGAGGGCACGGATGGCATGGCGTGCGCGCATCCGTGGGCGAGTGGCGGACGAGATGGACGTGACCATCGGCGAGGAGGTGGGCTACTCCATCCGATTCGAGGACTGCAGCGGAGCGGACCCAAGACCTCCCTCAAGTGAGCCGCTGGTAGTTAGACTTAAGTGACAGAGAGCTGCTTCTGCGTGGTAGGCCTAGACTGAGAAGGGCTGCAGCAGGCCCTCCCAAGACCAGCCTCAAGTGAGTCCATTCAAACGCGCACTTTACAGAGCGCTGGTAGCAAGGGTGCGTCTGTATCACGTCTTTTCCCTGTCACCCACCCACCCACCCACCAGGTACCTCACTTCACTGACGGTGTGCGTTTGCAGGAGGCCATGGCGGACCCGCTGCTCGAGCGGTACAAGGCGTTCCTAACTCTGCTCTCTGCTCTCTTATATCTTCTCCTGTACCTTTGTAACCATATCTGACCGATGGTATGCTTTTGAGAGAAGCCATGGCGGACCCGTTGCTCGAGAGTTACAAGGCGATCACCCTGGACGAGGCACACGAGCGCACGAGCGCACCCCCTCACCCCCTTATCCGTCTCTCCTTGACCCTCTCGTCCCTACCGTCCAGGTACCTCACAGACGGTATGCTTCTAAGAGAGGCCATGGCCGATCCCCTGTTGGAGAGGTACAAGGCGATCATTCTGGACGAGGCGCACGAGCGCACGCTGGCGACGGACGTGCTGTTTGGGCTGCTCAAGGCCGTGCTGGAGCACCGGAAAGACCTCAAGCTCGTCGTCATGAGCGCCACTCTCGAGGCCGAGAAGTTTCAGGGCTACTTCCACGGCGCGCCCCTCATGAAGGTCCCCGGCAGGCTGCACCCCGTCGAGATTTTCTACACTCAGGTGGGCAGGGCAGGGAAGAGGGGAGGAGGCAGGGGGAGGAAGGGTGCAGATCCACATGTGTGATACCCTCCTCCAAAGGGGATACCCTCCTCACCCCACTCACTTATCCTATTCCACCCCACTCTCCCTTTACCCTTCCTTCTCCCCCACCCCAGGAGCTGGGGCGGGAGTACCTGGAAAGTGCTATCCGCAGCGCATGGTGGTGCAGTGCAGATGTGAGAGCCTTCTCATGTTACTGACTTGCTCGTCTTACTCACTTGGTTCCACCTCAAACTCTCCTTCCCGTCTTACAGGAGCCAGAGCGGGACTACCTTGAAGCTGCCATCCGCACGGTGGTGCAAATCCACATGTGTGAGCCTTTAACTCTAAAACCCGAACCACAAAACCCCTTTTGATTTTACAGGAGCCAGAGCGGGACTACCTAGAAGCAGCCATTCGCACGGTGGTGCAGATCCACATGTGTGAGCCGCCGGGGGACATTCTCGTGTTCCTCACGGGGGAGGAGGAGATTGAGGACGCGTGCAAGAAGATCGCCCGCGAGGTGCAGAACATGGGCGACCAGGTGGGGCCCGTCAAGGTCGTCCCGCTCTACTCACACTCCCCCCCTCTCCCCTCTCTTTCCCATTCCGCCTCCCCCTCCTTCCTCCGCCTCCCCTCCCACCCTCTGCCTCCCCTTCCCTCTCCGCCTCCCCTCGTCCCCCCTTCCCCACACTCCACAGGAGCCTGAAAGGGACTATCTTGAAGCGGCCATTCGCACGGTGGTGCAGATCCACATGTGTGAGCCTTCAAAGGGGATGGAGATCTCCCTTGTCTCACTCACTCATTTGTTCCACTTCCATACTCCCCTTTCCCTTTGCTCACCCACCCCTTCAACCCCTTCCCCCTCCCCCCCCCTTCCTCCCTTCCAACAGGAGCCTGAAAGGGACTACCTGGAAGCGGCCATTCGCACGGTGGTGCAGATCCACATGTGTGAGCCGCCGGGGGACATTCTCGTGTTCCTCACGGGGGAGGAGGAGATTGAGGACGCGTGCAAGAAGATCGCCCGCGAGGTGCAGAACATGGGCGACCAGGTGGGGCCCGTCAAGGTCGTCCCGCTCTACTCCACTCTGCCGCCCGCCATGCAGCAGAAAATCTTCGACGCTGCCCCGCCGCCCGTGAAAGAAGGCGGGCCGCCCGGCCGAAAAATCGTCATTTCCACAAACATCGCGGAAACCTCCCTCACGATCGACGGAATCGTCTACGTCATCGACCCGGGTTTCTCCAAACAGAAGGTCTATAACCCGAGGATTCGAGTCGAGTCGCTCCTAGTCTCCCCGATTTCCAAAGCCTCGGCGCACCAGCGGGCGGGTCGAGCCGGCCGAACGCAGCCCGGGAAATGCTTCCGCCTCTACACGGAACGCTCCTTCCAAAAAGACCTCCAGGAGCAAACCTACCCGGAAATCCTCCGATCGAACCTTGCCAACGTCGTGCTAACCCTAAAAAAGCTCGGAATTGACGATCTCGTGCACTTTGACTTCATGGATCCGCCCGCCCCGGAGACCCTGATGAGAGCGCTGGAGCTGCTGAACTACCTGGGCGCGCTGGACGATGAGGGGAATCTGACCAAGCTGGGCGAGCTCATGAGCGAGTTTCCATTGGACCCGCAGCTCTCCAAGATGCTCGTTGTGTCCCCCGACTACAACTGCTCCAATGAGATCCTCTCGATTACCGCCATGCTCTCAGGTTGGTTGGCTGAATGGTGGGTTGGTTGGCTGAATGGTGGGTTGGTTGGCTGAATGGTGGGTTGGTTGGCCGGTTTGTCGGGGTCTCTCATTGGCCTTGTTGCCTGCGTGTGCTGGGGGGTAATGCCGGTGCTGTCTGGGACACTGGTGGTGTCGCTGGGCTAACTGCTCCAATGAGATCCTTTCCATACCGCCATGCTCTCAGGGGGTGGTTGGCGAGTTGGTTGTCAGTTGCATTGGTCATGTTGTTTGCATGTGCTGGGGGAGAATGTCGGTGCTGTCCAAGATGCTGCTCGTGGTGTTGCCAAATTGCAACTGCTCCAATGAGATCCTTTCCATACCGCCGTGCTCTCAGGTTGGCTGGTTGGTTGGTGAGTTAGAATGTCAGGTTTGCCTGTCATCAAGTCTCA